CGCACACGCACACGCACACGCACACGCACGCGCACGCGCACGCACACGCGCACGCGCACGCGCACGCGCACGCGCACGCGCACGCGCACGCGCACGCCCACGCGCACGCCCACACACACGCCCACACACACACACACACGCCCACACACACGCGCACGCCCACACACACGCCCACACACACGCCCACACACACGCCCCCACACACACACACACACACACACACGTCCTTCTCCTCCTCCTCTCCTCCTCCGCCTCCTCCGCCTCCTCCTCCGCCTCTTCCTCCGGGTCGGCGACGACCTCCGGTCCAGACGCCCGACGTTCGTGGAGGGCAAAAAATCCGCCCCCATAATAACCACCTCGGCACGCGAAGCCGTTTAGTGAACGCACCAAGAGAAAGAATCGAGCAGGGCAGGGCTGTTTAGTAAACGCACAGGCCCGTTTAGTCAGCGCCAATTATCGGGTCCAAGTGGTTTTCCTCCCTTGAGATGCGAATGAGCATGGGGGGGAGACGGCGGTCACAGAGGGCCCCCCCCCACCTGCACGACGACGCGAACAGTATCCCTGTCGGCCCGAATCGATGTCTTTCTCGACACAACGTGCTCAGAAAGACGACAGGCCGCAACATCAATGCACAGTCCAAAGGAAAATCTCCCTAACCCTTTTCTCAACCTTACTCCTCTCCTCTCCTCATCTCATTCTCTGGTGATGATCATCATCATCATCATCATCTCTGCTCTCTCTCTCTCTCTCTCTTTATCCCTCTCTCTCTCGTTGCCTCACCTCTCTCCCTCTCTCTCTCTCTCTCTCTCTCTCTCTCTATATATATATATATATATATATGTCCCTTTCTCCCTCTCTCTCTACCTCTTTGCCTCACTATTTCTCTCTCTCTCTCTCTCTCTATATATATATATATATCTCACGCCAAAAAAGAGAGAGGAGAGAGATGATGAACGAGAGAGAGAGAGAAAAAAAAAAAAAAACAAAAAAAACAGAGATGGAGAGAACCTCGAAGGAAGATGGGCGGAAGAAGGGGGGGGCACGGGGAGGGGCAGCGGAAGCCGTCTGGAGCGAACGAGGTTTAGAAAGGGCAAACGAGGACGCCTTGGAAAAAGGATCATGGACGGAGGAGGGGGACGCACCTTGCCCATCGGTCCTCCTCCTCGGTCCTTCTCGGTTCTCTTCCTCCTCCTCCTCCTCCTCACTCCTCTCTCCTCCCTCCTCCTCCCTCTTCCTCCTCCTCCTCCTCCTCCTCGGTCAGCCCCTCGGGCCTCGGTCCTCCGCCTCATACTCGGCCTCCTCCTGCCCTTCCGTCCTCGGGTTCATCCTCATCCTCGGCCTCCTCCTCCTCCTCGGTCCTCCTCCCGGCGCCTCTGTCCTAATGTCGGTTCCTCCTCGGTCTCCTCATCCTCTCTCTCCTCCTCCCTCCTCCTCCTCCTCCTCTTGCAATGATCTTCCTCCCGACTCGACTCGACTCTGGACGGCTATGAGTGTGTCCGCTGCCGTTCCCCTCCTCCTGCTCCTCCTCTCCTCCTCCTTTTCCGCCTCTCCTCCTCCTCCTCGCCCTTCTCCTCCTTCCTCCCCTCCTCCTCCTCCTCCTCCTCCTCCTCCTCCTCCCCTCAGGTGTCACGAGGGCGGGGACACGACGAGTTAGATTTACAGTGGAGGGGGGAAAGAAGCAGGAGAAGAAAAAGAGAGAGAGAGAGAGAGAAGAAAGAGAGGGAGCAGAGAGAGAGAGAGAGAGAGAAAGAGAGAAACAACAAAAGGGATAACCAACTCATACCCTGCACTCCGCGTGCTCCCCGAGCGCACACGAAAACGGTGGCACCTGTGCGCTGGCGTAAGACCCAAAACTGCTAGACATCGCAGGAGCGAGGGAGGAGCCCTGACGTATCGCGCGAACGGAACGACGATCCAGGGCTCCCAAAACCGTGCAGTGACGGGACCGCGTGGCCTCAGTCCCCGACACGACCTCACCTCGCGCGGCCCGTCACTGCACGGCCTTGGGTTCTCCTGGACGCCCCAGGTCACCCGAGCTCAGAGAACGACCCGAGCCCGAGAAGCGGCGCGCGGTGACCCCCGGAACCCCTCGCGATGTGAACAAATCACGACGAGATTTTTTTTTTTTTTTTTTTTTTTTTTTTATAAAAAAAAAATGTTTGGCATCCTCTGGCCCTCGCCGGGCCTCGGGACCGTCAAACAACGACTCGGGATGAAATTCCGGTCCCGGGGAAGGGGTCGAGGCCCCTGGGGGTCGACGCTGCGAGAAAATCACAGCGTCGGGGGGCCTGGGCCCGGATTCATCTCCACGGACTCGTCATGCGATGTGGTCGCCACACCGCGTGGGGGCCACCGAGGAGGAGGAGGAGGAGGAGGAGGAGGAGGAAGGAGGAGGAGGGAGGAAGGAGGAGGGAGGAGGAAGGAGGGAGGGGGGCGGAGGAGGAGGAGGAGGAGGAGGAGGAGGAGGAGGAGGAGGAGGAGGAGGAGGAGGAGGAGGAGAGGAGGAGGAGGAGGAGGAGGAGGAGGAGGAGGAGGAGGAGGAGGAGGCGCGGGCACACGCATGAAGGTGGGGAGTTCAGGAGCCGCGACGGACTCCCGGAGCAAGGCATCGATATCGGCCGTGCAGGCTGGGGCGCGTCCGTGCGCGGGCGCGCTCCGCCGCTGCCTCTAAGGGGTCCCTCCCGCCGGTCTGCCCCCGAGAGGCGGGGGCGACCCTCAGATCCTGGAATTCCGAGCGTCCGAGACCACGGGACGCCACAGCGCGCAGTGCCACCAGGCTCCAACACTTGAAAACGCAAAACCCCTAAACCCCTCCAACTCTACGACCCTAAGACCCTGTGGCCCTCAGACCCTCGGACCCAGGAGGCCTCCAAGAGGCTCAAGGGAGGCCCCAGGAGGGAGGGCGCGCCGCTGGATAACAAAGGGGGGGGGGGGTTTCGGGAACCCCCCTCCCCCCCCCTTGCCCGAAGCCGTGGTCGGCGAACCCTCCCCCCCCCCCCCTTGCCCGAGCCGTCGTCGGCGACCCCCCCCCCCCCCCTTGCCCGAGCCCGTCGTCGGCGAAACCCCCCCCCCCCCCCCTTTCCCGAACCGTCGTCGGCGAACCCCCCCCCCCCCCTTTCCCCGGCTCGCGCCCCGGCTCCGGAACCCCATCCCTACCACTCCCGCCCCGACCCCCCCGAACCCCTAACCTCTAACCCAAACCCTGAACCCTAATCCTTAATCCCTAACCCGAAGCCTAAACCCTAACCGTAGACCTAACCCTGACCCCAAACCCTAACACTAAGCCTGGCCCTAACCTAAGCTCTAAACCTGAACCCTTAACCCTAGCCCTCAACCCTAATCCCTAACCTCAACCCTACCCCTCACCCTAAACCCTAAACCCTAACCCTAACCCTAAACCCTAACCTCAACCCCAACCCTGACCCTAAACCCTAAACCCTAGCCATAAACCCTAAACCCTAACCCTAAACCCTAACCCTAACCCTAAACCCTAACCCCCAAAACCCTACACCCTAAACCCTGACCCTAAACCCTAACCCTAACCCTAACCCCATACACCCTAATTCTTAACCCTAACCCTAACCCTAAACTCTAGCCCTAACCCTAACCCTAAACCTTAACCGTATGCCTAAACCCTATGACCTAACCCTAAACCTTAACCCTAACCCTGAACCCTGAACCCTAAACCTTAACCCTAAACCGAACCCGAACCCTAACCCTAAACCCTCACCCTATCCCTAAACCTTAACCCTCAACACAAACCATACCCCTAACCCTAAACCCTAACCCTAACCCTAAACCCTAAACCCTAACCCTAAGCCCTAACCCTAACCCTAACCCTAAACCCTAACCCTTAACCCTAACCGTAACCCTAAACCCTAAACCCTAAACCCTAAACCCTGTTAGACCCCCCTAAACTGCAGGCGCGGACCTGGGGGCGCGCACCGCCACGCCTGTAATGATCTGCTAGTGAGAGCGAGCTGCAAGTCGAGCTCACCGCGACCATAGGCCTGCCGGCCCGAGGCTGTGCTTCGCTTGCAAAATGATAACCCCTAACCCTCCGCCGGATGCTCAGAAATGCCGCTCGGCTTTTCCCCCGGAGCTCTCCCCCAGAGCTCTCCCCCAGAGCTCTCCCCCAGAGCTCTCCCCCAGAGCGCCGATGCTCCCTGTCATTCCTGGCATGCACATCCCGCAGCGCTCACGCGCGTCGCAGAGCCGACGTCCGCCGACCCCGCGAACAACGGCGCCCCCGCGAACTCTCGGCAAGGCGCAGTTGTGCCCTCTTCCGCGGGCTTGCACCAGGAACGCGGAAGCTCGCGGTCGAGGGGGGCTTCCGCGCGGGTGTGGCCGCCGCGCCGCGCCGAGTCCGCGAGCGAGAAAGCCCGTCGGACTCCACGCGCGGCGCGGCGCCCACTGCCGCGCGGAAACCCAGGGGGCCACGTCCAGCCTCCACGCGGCGGCCCCTGGGGAAGGCTACGCGGGCGACTCTGCACCCGCAAGGGTCGCGGTCGCGCGCGTAACCTTCGCGAAGGACGACTCTCGAATCGCGCTAATGCTGACATATCTGTTTCTGGGACGCACATC